TGGTGATCCATCTTCGCCCCTGCAGTGGCGGTTTCCGACCGTTCTGAAGTAGTGCCTACTGCAAAAAACGCTGCGCCGTTTTCACCTATTTGGTGTTGCACCTCCATGCTCCTATCACCATTTTCTGTGTGAATTTCCCTTTGCGTTTATTAGTCGGAAAACAACGGAAGGTGAGCTATCAGATCTTGGTGGGTAACTAACGAAGAGAATGAAGAAGAAAAGGATCATGAGTCAGAGTTGACGAGCATTGTTAATTACGAGAACGATTCGACTACGAGGTAACTTTTGCGGCGTGTCAGATCAGGACGGACTGAACGAACATACTTCTTGGTTAGCTGAAAAGCTGCCTAGCTGTACCGGTCCGGTTCCTCTCTTAAGTTGGTGCACAGGCTTAACTGCAACAGCGCCACAAGTAGTTTAATACCCTTGATGTCTGTATTATTAAGCGACTATTGCTAATTTGGGTGAAAATGGAATTTTCTGATGGTTTAAGCCAGGATATTGAAAATTTGTCGCGTAATCTAGCTGTATAACATATGAATTGAAAGGTTAAGCTGAAAAAAGTTTGTGTCAAGACTGCGGACAAAAGGTCTGTTGTCTGTCGATTTTTAAAAGAAAACATACTTGGCTATTAATAGGAAAGCCGAAAAGGGGTTCTTGTCTGTTCTAGTTTGACGTACCTTCTAAAAAAGATGTAACTCGAAATTCGCATTTTATCTGGCAAACCTTTTTTTGTAGCAGTAATTGATGGGCCGCTACTTGTATTTCATTTGCCCTTACTGTTTTTAACAGAGGAGGGTATTTGGTCAGGCAAAGTATAACATGAATGTCTCATTCCTTTCTTAGTTTGTGAGAAGATCTAGCGTTTAGCAAAGAGATTAGCGAACCAAAATGCTAATTATCAGCAGTAAAGCGTTAAATAAGGTAAAATTACAGAATCTTGGTGCCGTCGCAGTTTTAGCAACAAATGCGACACGCGGTTTTGGTCGTCAGCTCCAGCACCAGTAGCTGGGTCTGG